CTTGTTGTGCACTGGGCAGATGTGCCTTTAGAGTAGTGCAGTGTCACATGCTGTAAATCACAGCTTATTTTTTGCCTTAATAGAGCTACCGTTAGCAGTAATCTGGAGACAAATATGGTACCAACAAGCTAGCAATCAAAGAACCAACCAGGAGTGAGACTTCTCTGTTTACAGTTGATATACAGCAAAAAATAAATATATCTTGTGTTAAAAATATACAAGAAATATCTCTCTTGGAATAAGAAAATAGCAGTTCTTGAAATAAGACTAAATGACCTTTTCTCACTGGCAAATCTTTTTATAAGACAGTGAGAATGTACTGAAATTAAGATAAAAGACACTCAATTAAAACATTTAGCTCATATTTTATCTTATTTGTTTGCAATGTACTTGCTAACCAGAGCCAAAGTGGAAGAGAGGAGGCTCCTGGTCACTTATTAGGGGATATATCTTGATTTACAAAGACATTATCAAAGTATAAACACTAGGATCATGTAGAGCAGTGAAACACAGACTTTTAAGGCCAAAATCTTGAGTATGACATCAACAATTCAAACCAAGCCAACGTTGTTAGACTCTATGGAGCTAGCGGGTTAGCATTGTCCATTCCTCTTTACAGTCTATGGTTAAAATCCAACAAAAATGAGTTGGGTGAGAATAAACGGATTAAGTGGATTGAATTGTAAATTTCTCCATTGTGCCAGTGATGGGCGACAGTAGCTCAGTTGGTAGAGCATTGGCCTTTGAGCCAGAAGTCTGTGGGTCCGAGCCCACCGCAAGACGTTTTCCACTGACTCCCACTGACACTGCTGTCGTTGTGTCCTTGGCAAGACACTTAACCTCTGGGAACACCTGATGCCACAGTGGGGCGGCTGTAAAGTGCCAAACTGCTGTTGTGTCCTTAGGCAAGACACTTTACCCCCATTGCCTAGAATGAGTCTGGTGTGTGTGTGAATGGTTGGTGGTGGTCGGAGGGGCCGATGGCACATACTGGTTGCCTCGCTTCTGTCAGTGTGCCCCAGGGCAGCTGTGGCTACAGTATAGTTTATCACCACCGTGTTTGAAGTGAATGAATAATGACATGTAAAGCGTCTTTGAGTGTCCAGAAAAGCGCTATATAAAACTGATGCTTTTTTTTATTTATTTTTTGATGTGCTCACATCATGCTAACTGCTGTTTTGGTTAGCATGACTAAGTTAAAGTCAACAACTGGTTTGAAGCGGTATTTATGTTATTTCATGTAGAATTAAGCAGAAATATTGTCCTTTTGAAAACAATTAGATTTAGCCTGGACTCAGAAACACAGTGTTTTACTTGCTTTCTTAACAACCCCATAGCGTAACAAATAACATATAATTTTTGATAATTGGCTTGGTGTTTGTTTGTTGTATAAATTGTGCCAAAATTTGCTTGAATGTCTAATGTGACAACTTCCTGTAATTTTCAACACATCTTTCATCTTCTCCTTACAAAGTGCTTCCTGATTGATTACAACCTATCATTTATACTTCAACAGATAAAGTCCTAATTAGAAAAGCATATAGAGTAAAATAGACTTATGGCCCTTTTAATCCCCCCCTCCCCATGAGCTCCCCTCCACAGCTGACGTGAGGGCCTAAATGGTGGGTTGGCCGCGGCGGAGACAGTCCCTCAATGCGGAGGTGGTGATTTAGTGCGGCGATAAGCTCTGTGTAATGGCAGGGTGGAATAATTCTTCTTTAACTAGGAGGCTTGCACTCCCCACCCTGGAAATGAACGAGCCGGACATGTTTGGGCTTTGTTCGCAGCGCCTCTGACCGTCTCTTGTCATGTTTTTGGTAAATACTCCATTTAGGATGCGTGGGCAGCAGCGCGGTGCTCCGGAGGCTTGTAGCTGTGGACGGAGTGATAGCCAGGCTTGTCATGTGTAAAGGATCTGAGTCCATAATTCCATCCTTTAGGTTCCAAAGTACCTGAACATGAGCTCCAGTATCCAGGTCACTTTCTATACAGTGATCTGGCTTCTCACTAATGTTTACCTACATTTTAGTTTTTCTCATTCAAATTTCTATTGTGGACGTTTGAATGAGAAATTGTCTGATGTTTTCGCACAAAGATTTTGCAGCCACAATTCAGTTGTTGTGTATAGCCCTAAATCACAACAGCATTAATCTCTGAGGACAACATTGTCAATTCCTCATCAACAGATCAGAGAATCAAACAATTTGAACACAGAAAATTCAATGATAACAAACACATAGCGCCATTGGTCCATAGGTTTGACCAATGTCCATAAATGTAAATAAATATCCTCAAGGTTTTCTGCATCAACCTATATTTTCTTCTGGGTTGTGGGAAAGTCGATTTAAAGGTGGTGTTAGCAACTTAAATTATATCTCATTTTTAAAAGAATGCATACTTCTGACCTTGTTACACCGTATTATTGTGTACAGTGAGTATTTTCCAAGAATAAATTTAAAACAAAAAGTTCATATTTTGAGTGTGTCACATCTTTGTCATAACTAAACCTGCATATTATTATACTTAATTAAGTGTACTATTCCTTTTTGGCCATCTGTTCTTGAATAAGTAGTCATCAGAAGAATTCCAGACGTTTTGATCTGATAAAAAGCATGTAAAAACGGCTAACCAGGCTTGCAATTGTCATAATTGCCTGCTAACACTCATGTTGACATTTCCACTTCTGAGAGACTGACTCAAACCACCTCCTTAAATCTCCCTTGTTCAAATAACATCCAATCTGGCAACCCACTGACTTTATAAGCTGGCTGTTGACTGACAGTTTTAGAAAATGTTAAAATTGGGTCGTTTTCCCCCCGAGGAGGAAAACATCTTGCGTTCACGCCGCCGCCGCCGCTGTTGCTGTTGCTGCTGCTCTTTTGTCTTTCATTACCACAATGTAAAAGCTTGTACTCGCTCTGATTAGTCTGAGTCCAAGGGGATTTGTGATTTGTGTGAAATGTAATGGCGGAATCAAGAGATTGTTTGTAGAATGCAGCGTTTGAGGATGTGCCTGTGTGTCCTCCTCTTCCTCTATAGATTATTATCAGCTTCTGTGTGCGTCTATGTGTGTGCGTGTGCGTGTGCGTGTGTGTGTGTGTGTGTGTGTATGCGGAGCACGATTCTGGTCGAACTGGGAGGTCTCGCTGTTAGATAGATTTCAGTGCGGCTCTGACACTGCAGGTGGAGAGGCTGTGATGTAGGAGATGGCCAATCAGCACAGACAGGGCAGAGGGGCTTTGTTCTGACTAAGGCTGCCCTCTAGAGGCCAATGGGATAATGGCATGGTGAATTTGTGCATCTGAATGTGCTTTTCAATTCTGGTGTGAAGGCACTTGTCCCATTGTGGCCATTATTGTGAAGCCTGTGAAGTGCACTATGTGTTAGTGTACTTATATTTTACATTTCTGCAGAAGAACTCTGAGGGAGAATTCACAGAGATGCTTTGTATTCATTTTGGTTTTAGTGCTTTCCATTCCCACTGATTTGTGCTGTGCATCGCAACACAATGAGGGACAAAAAATAGCTATTCAAATAACCTATTATCTCAACTTCAGCCAACAGTTTACACGCCAATAAAAAAGGCACGCACTAAAAGAAATAATAACGTAATTCATCTTGAACCTTATGTTCCAAGTAAGTAAATGAGAAAGTAATCATTATAGCCCCTTCACAGTCACCTGTATAAGTTACATTCACTTTGTATCAGAATACACTTAAATCTAAGTGCTTGTGGTCTGCAACAAAAGTATCTAAAGTTACACAAATGGGTCCTCCCCGTGTGTATCGCTCTTATGAGACTGATATGGCTTTATGTCGCTCTCTCCATCAATTGTGAATCTGTTTTCTTGTTTTATTTAAAGATTGCAGTTTTGATTGGCTCATGACATTCCCAGTTCATCCAATAGTTTAAAAAAGGCAATGTGACGTATGCTCTCAAAAGTACATAAGTACATATGCTTATCCCAAAAACTGACCAAAACTACTATGTACTACTACTAAGTACGATGTAACGTCTGTTAAGGAAGTCAGATTATGGCTTAATCTGTTCTAATCCTCGTTTGGCTTATAGGTTTTTTGCAAATGCACCCCAACTAATATATCAGTGCTAAATACCATAATGCCTTGAATTAGGAAAACAATCACATCTAAATCCACAAAAAATATCTAAAAACATACTAAAAAAATTGTTTTATGAAAGTTAGTCTTTTCTATTCTATCTTGTGTAGTGCAGACACAGATTTGTGTAACCCACTCATTCCAAGTCAAGCATACAGATTATGATTAATACAAAAGTTGAATACATAAACTTTAAATTGTGTCACTTTTAAGATTTATTGAGAGATGATTGAGATCCCAGAGTCTGTAGTTGGAGTTAATTTGTTGAAAATCTTCGCTTTTCCAATTACTGAAACTTACATATTTACTTAATTTATATATATTATAAAGTCAGTTATTTTTTGGGTTTTGACTTGATATTTTACGTCGATGGTGGGTCCTTTACACTCTATGGTCCAGACACATTCCAGTTTATTTTATTTATTTGTTTATTTGACAGGGACATTGCACCATAAATGTATTTTTCTTACCGGACATAGCTAATTTCGTTTTCTGTCCCTGAAAAGAGGCAAAGTGACAGCAGTTGAGAATGGAGTAGATAATTATTCACAACATAAGCCTTCAAACCTATTATATTTCTTAAAAATCTTTGACCTTTCTGATGCACGAGATAGTAGCTTATCACGCTCTTAATAATTTAATTTATTTTCACGTTTTAATTTGAATCATTCCACTACACCATCCACTTCCCGCCTTCTCCTGCTCGGCTCGCTCGTCTGTAGCCTCTCGCCGCTGTCACTGGCGACCATCATTTGCATTCTAATTGTATTTCTCCATCAGACGGCTGAGCGTATGTGTGATTGCATGAAGGGCTCTGACACCGGCGCTTAAACAGGCCGTCTCACACACACACTTTTAACACGTGTTGTTTTCCCCCGTAGCCCTGCTGTCGTCGTGGTGCGAGGAGCTCGGTCGTCTGCTCCTGCTCCGTCACCAGAAGAACCGGCAGAACGAGCCCCCGGGAAAAGTGCCCATGCAGCCCAGCCTGAACAGCATGAAGCCCGGACTCACGCACAGGTCGGTGCACAGGCCATGACACACAGCAACACAGCCATAAGATTAGATCAGATAAGATAAGATAAACCTATATTTGTCATGGGAAATAAGAGCACCCAGGATACGCACACATTCATATTATTTAAGATAATAGCTAAAACATAGACAGTAAACATATTACACTGGGTAACAAAAAAGTATTTTTTGAAAATAGTCCAGGGTTTTCCAGCAGAATTAGACTAATGTTGATGCTCTGAGTCCGAAAATGACCTTGGTTTTGCTCAATCAGGTCAGGATTTTTTGCTTTTAACTGGATTAGTTTGTTTATAATAAAGTATCTCCTCGTCGCTACGGATTTGTTAATGAAACTCTCGCACACACCGCACACGTAAAACGTAGACGTACGTAATCCGTAACACTATGGCTGTATCTCAAAAAGTTGACCTGATAGAGCAAAATGCATGTAATATTCTGACTCAGAACACCAAAATTAGTCTAAATCAGTTGAGAAACCCCTGACCATTTTTTGGCTGTCAACTTGTGTTATAAACAATCAGCTATAATTACACTACTCAGTATAGTACACAGTATAAACTGCAGTCAGCAATTAGGGCGTTTCGCAAGTACTGAATATTGTTCTTTAGCAGCAGCGATTATGACTAGAATAATTCATTAGATTAATACCAGCAACTATAGTGACTAGTGAATTATCAATATAGATGAGTGGCATATGTACAGAATCAGAAGTTCTCGTTGTACAGTCTAACAGCATCAGGAAGCAATGACCTGTAGAACCTCTTCTTCCCACAACGAGGGTGGATCAGTCTGTCACTGAAGCTGCTCTCCAGAGCTTGATGTTCTCTTTAGTAATAAAGAATTTTCCACTTCTTAATCAATTAAGATCATTTATTTCAAAATCTGTAATGCACACTTTTACAGGGCAAAAGAACAGAAAAACAGACCGATTTTTTAATTGTGATGAAGCAAACTTCCAAACCCCCGACCCGTTCAAATACAGAAAATCATTTAGAACAAAACCTTCAGAAAAGAACAGTACAAAAGCATTAATTAAATAATCTATTCCAAAGAGTTGTTCCACTTCTACTTCTAGATGGAGATGGTTCCAAAATCCTTCTTTATCCATGAAACATGTTTATCTAATAGACTGTATGTATGTAGTGGATAGTGCTATCATGCTAGCTCCAACTCACTCTGGCTCCGTTCACTTACTTTACTTTGCTCAGTAAACATGTGTGCCACATTCTCCAATTTAGACAAAAAATCTATTCAACAAGATCCTGTTTTTTTTTTTTTTCAAATACTGTCTTAAACCCAGGTATGACTTCTAACAACTGACCAATCAGGTAAACTTTCTTCTATTCAGACACTTGGAGCAAAAAAGCCGTGTGTTTAATTACGATGTGTCAGACTGGCCCCATCCGGTAACGACGGCTGATAAGAGACACGTCATACCATCACGTGTCGGCCATGACGAAGGCGGAAGCTTCCCGCTGAAACATGTCAGGTATTTATGCAAGCTTTTTTGCTCTAAGTGTCTGACTAGAAGCAAAACGTTATCTACCAGAGAAGACATAATGAATTTCAACAGATTTTAAAGCATTGAAAAAAGAGCTTTTGTCCAAGTCTAAAAAACAGGGCAAGCAGGAACTGAGCAGCCTCATGATTGGCTCTTGAGTTGCTATGTGGTTGCTTGCTGAGAATTGTTAGCTCCAGATTCCCGCCCAGTTGAGTGGACTCTTGAGTTATTCCAGAGTGAAGTTAGACCTCTGTTCGTCCACTCCTTCTACGGCCTACAGTTTATTAATAGAGAATTCTAAATCATCACAAATATTGGATCACATTCACCTTGTTGTGAAAAAGTCTTGTAAATGCCGAATCAGACACCTTCCTCTCATCAGAAAACATGTTATCTATTGCATACTTGTAAGAAAGCCCCCAGCAAGACACATTTTGACTCTAGAGAAGTGACAGCAGCCGTTACAATACATGCATGTGAAAACTAATGATACAGCAAAACTTTTTAAGAGCAAGGAACAATTTGCCATAGTTCCATTTTGTTGTGGTTTGAAAGTCAGGTACCGCAGATTCTAAGGTTTGATGCAATATTAAAAATGTTATGATAAAAAACCCGCCAGGATCGACAGATGGTATTGACAAAGTGCTCATGGACATAAACTCTTCTAATTCACTATTGGCCGAAGGAAAATCTAAAACTAACAGCCTACAGAGGATCAAGTATTTTCGCCAATACAACTTTTATTCTCTCATCTCTGTTTAGAAGCTCTTTAAGATAGACTTAACATAATGCGCCCCTTGAACATCAGAAGTATAAGTGACGTTTCTCAACAATAATTGATGAAGTACCCAGAGCGAGCGACTGCCTATAAAACCTCATTCTAAACGACTCCATCTCCACTCTCGCCCAGACAGAATAATGTAACTTCTGTGTGTGTGATTGTCAGCTCTTTAGTTCCTGGAAGGATCTGGATCGATGGTCAGATATTTAAAGACGCACTCTCCTCTTGTTATACCAGGCCGAATCGTTAGGCCGCTCTGAACCGTTGCCAAGACAAAGTGCCAGCGTTAGAAAAGCCATCCTTATGTGCGAAAACAGCAGAAAACGCCTTATTGTTGTAGAGGAGAGTGAGGGCGGAGAAAGCTGAAGTCATGTTGGGTGGAACATTTTGTGCTTGTAATAGAGGGGAGTCTGCAGCCAAATTGTGTGTGTGCATGTGTGTGTGTGTGTGTGTGTGTGTGTGTGTGTGTGTGCGTGTGTGTGTGTGTGCGTGTGTGTGTGTGTGTGTGTGTCTGTGTGGATGATGTTTGAGTTTATGAGGAAATATTGCACATGTTGTCCAGTCCAAAGCGCGAGCCTCTGTACAAAAACAAGCCTCCTTCCAAAAGCAGCAGTTCTTCCCCAGCTGCTGGCACGGGGCCCGTCCTGGGATCGTGTGAGGGGGTGGGGGGGTATGGGGGGAGGGGGCTGCCAAACACACTCTTGCAGTCTTGTCATTATCTGGAGGAAAACCCAGTCTGAACTATTTTTCTGCATTCAATCATTTCTGAACAGTTGTAAAGCACCTTGGGTGACTGTGGTCCTTTTAAAGTGCGCTACATAAATAAAGATTGCCTACTTATTAACTCATGGTTCATAACTTAGTTGCTAAGTAATTATTGCTGAGAGGATTGACTGGATGATTCCTGACTATTTGACTGTAAATGTTAAAACTAATCTGTCTGTGAAGTACATGTCAGACGAATGTATTGTATGAATCAGTTTGGTTTTTTTTGTCAATATTATATCTATTTTTTCCTTTTTTTTCTGAAATGAAAGAAACATTTTAAATATTACCGGAAAGGCTTTAAAGGTGGGGTACCTAACTTTCAAACCAATGTAATACAAGCCACTTCACAAGGTCCTGGCTCTAACACAGTTTTCACATGCATGTACTCGTTTTGGCCTCGGTCGCATCTGTAGAGCAGCTTTTTCAGACAGAAAAGTGAAAAAGAGAAGACCACTTTCAGTTAGCCGAGCAGCTCTCAGCTCAAAGCTTGCAAAGTTTGCAAAATAGTGTCTTATGTGATGAAGACAACTTTCTGTTGAGACAAACATGTTTCATATATTATGTCATTAATTATATTGAAATAATCATTAGCTGCAGCCCTATACATTTTAAGATATGTATTTTTGCTGTTACATTTGCCGCTGATAACATAATATTACATTTTAAATTGTGGATATTATTATTAGTAAATGTTAAACGAATATGGTATAACTGTGTGTACACTCTTGTATGGAGTGTGAATGGAGGACATGTATTTGAAAGAAGGTTACCCATCAGTCTTTGCTCGGACTCAGTGGTTGTACATGCCTGATGTAGTTGTGAATGCTGAAGTGTGTTGTTTGCTCTCCTCTGCAGTGATGGCTCCTTTCCTTACGACTCTGTGCCCTGGCAACAGAACACTAACCAGCCTCCTGGGTCCTTGTCTGTGGTTACCACAGTGTGGGGTGTCACCAACACCACGCAGAGCCAGGTAGATTCATTAGTGCGCTGCATGCGGACTGATTAATTCAATTACTCCTTCCCTCCGTGGCTGAACTGTACGGCTGTACGTGCAGGTTTTGGGGAACCCCATGGCCAACAGTAACAACCCCATGAACCCCGGAGGAAACCCGATGGGTACCGGAATGTCGGGCAGCGGAGGAGGCATGAACTCGCCGCAGTTCAGTGCGCAGCAGCAGCAGTTTCCCAACAAAGGAGGCTCCAACCAGGCATACATGCAGCAGGGCATGTACGGTCGGCCGGGATACCCAGGAGGCCCTGGGGGGTACAGCGGCAGGTAAGACGAGCTCACTCTGATACTAGTCTGTGACCCCATGTCTGCTTTCACTCTGCTGCTCTTCCTCTGCCTCTCTACACATAACTGCTTTCTTCTAGATGCTCACAGCAGAGTTGTAAATAAATGTTTATTTCAGCTGATTCTGAATGTATTTTTCTCTGTTATGTTGTGCAAAATGAAGTATTGAGTGTACTTTATGCAACGTATGTCATTACAATGTGACTGAGAGTGGGCTTTGTTCTCTAATAACTTTCTGATGGCTGAACTGCTGTGATAGATGACTTGTTCTTGCTGCAGATTCAAAGGGATTTACTCAATATTAAGAAATGTAATTGAACAATCTTTCATAAGTTCTCTCAAGGTGACCGCACGCTCTCTCCTGTGCAGTTATTCGACAGGTCCAAACTCGGCTCCAGGAGGGATGGGCATGGCGTCTCACAATCGGCCTCCTGGTGACTTCACACAGCCTGCTGCTGCTGCTGCAGCTGCTGCTGTCGCCGCCGCTGCTGCCACAGCAACAGCCACGGCCACCGCCACAGTGGCAGCGCTGCAGGAGACCCAGAATAAAGACATGAATCAATACGGACAGGTACAGCACCTGTGCACACCTGCTGTAGACTACATTAGAGGCGTCACAGATAGAGCTATAGAAGCTAATCCCTGCTGATAATCTTACATTCAGCATTTAACTCCTGTGTGTTTCCTCTAGATGTGTTCTTCATTTCAAATGGGCCCCACGCAAGCCTACAACAGCCAATTCATGAACCAGCCTGGCCCCAGAGCGCCCCCTGGAGGCATGAACCCAGGCAACATGGGATCGGGCATGAATAATCCCAACATGAGTGGACCTCCCATGGGCATGAACCAGGCCCGAGCCCCTGGCATGGTCCCGTTTGGGGGACACGGCCAAAGGATGCCCCAGCAAGGCTACCCTGGTGGTCCCAGACCGGGCATGCCCATGCAGGGCATGAAGAGGCCGTACCCTGGAGAAGTGAGCCCCAGTCTCTTAGAACTTATTCAGAGGATGCTTCCCACATCTGACACTGACATGATTCTGTGTGTTCCAGGGTTACGGGGGTCAGCAATATGGACCTAACAGCCAGTTTCCCCCACAGCAAGTCCAGTACGGCGCCTCCACCCCATCCAGACCACTCCCCTCTCCAAACTATCCTGGGCAGAGGATGCCCGTGCAGCAGGGGCAAGGCCAGTACCCCCCAGGGGTGCCCATGGGCCAGTACTACAAGGTGAGCCCAGAGACGTTTAAAGTTGGCTTTTGTCCACATGTTATTAAATTTGGTTTTCATACACTACACTTCACAAAACCGATTGACTTTGCACAAAACTAATTGTGTTTATTCAAATTTATAGCCTGAGCCTTTTAATGGTCAGAGCAACAATTTCTCTGGAGGAGGTTACTCTTATGGCCAAGGGAATGGGGTATGTTGCTTTAAATATCCAAAGTCAATTGATTTGGTTTTATCATCTTCTGACATTAAACTTAAGTTGTTAGAGTTTGAAGAAACCTTTTTAACAAGTACTTTGTGTGTGTGTCTTTTTTATAGCCCAGGCCGGGTAACTACCCTCACTCGCCTGTCCCTGGGAACCCCACGCCCCCCATGACCCCAGGTAGTAGTATACCCCCTTACCTGTCGCCCAACCAGGACGTCAAGCCCCCGTTCCCCCCTGACATGAAACCAAATCTGTCTGCGCTTCCGCCCCCTCCGTGTGAGTACTTTGTGAGGAATAATGGACTGGCCACACACACGTAAACATGATACTCATCTGCCGTGTGACTTTCCTCTAGCCAATCCCAATGAAGAGCTGCGGCTCACGTTCCCGGTTCGGGACGGTGTGGTGCTGGAGCCATTCCGTCTGGAGCACAACCTGGCTGTCAGTAACCACGTCTTCCACCTGCGGCCTTCTGTCCACCAGACCCTCATGTGGAGGTGAGTTCTGCTGCATTCAAAAGACCAGAAGAATATTTTAGGTTCTCATCAGGAGACATGGAAATAACACATGGATTTAGGCCCAAATCTAAAATATCTTAAAAGAAGTACTCTGACCACACCTCAGGATTTAGAAAGTGCATAGGTTTGTTTAGGTAGTTTTCATTCTGCATCCCTGGGATTTAAGCACAGGATTTACATTGAAAGCTTGTCGTGTCTAAATTTGTGAAGAACAATCCTGCGACTAAAACAAAGTCTCCTATAGTCCCAGTGCAGTGCTCCCAGGACCAGAGCAATGTTCAAACTTTGTAACTTTATAAAGGAAATATTGTGAAAAATCAAAAACTTTCTCGGTAAGAGCTTTACACTGCTCCACGGCTCGTTACGCTGTCATTATGCAAAGTATTGTCCCTCAAGTGACTTGTGTAGTTTGAAAACCTTCTTCACTGACCCACATTAAACAGGCTGTAACACAGTTTGGTTTTATTGCCGTCTGAATTCCTGCATCGGTTGCTGGAGTCTGAGGAGGGTCCATTTCCGACTTGTTTTGACGCTTGGTAATTTTGGTCTGTCTGAAAGGAACTGGGGCCCTGGGAATTTTGGTTGAAAACTACTAGTCTTTCCTGTAAAATGTCTAAAATCTTGAGGAAGGGGTAACTTTTGACTACGATCAATACGCATTCCATATAAATGTGTCTAAAAGTCCTTTTGTGATTGTTTTGGTGAAATGCTGTCCCAGACCGTGTTAAACTCATGTCTGTGGTGTCTGTGCTGCAGGTCAGACTTGGAGCTGCAGTTCAAATGCTACCACCACGAGGACCGGCAGATGAACACCAACTGGCCGGCCTCGGTGCAGGTCAGTGTGAACGCCACTCCCCTGACCATCGAGAGAGGGGACAACAAGACCTCCCACAAGCCCCTGCACCTCAAGCACGTGTGCCAGCCCGGCAGGAACACCATCCAGATCACCGTCACCGCCTGCTGCTGCGTGAGTGAAAACTACGGCGGAGTTTTAAATTTATTTATTTATTTTATTTATTATTTATTTATTTTATTATTGCTATACTTAACATTCACTTGTTGTGTGCTACTCATTCCTACAGTTCTGTAACTTGTGATGCAACACTGACATTTCCCCACTGTGGGACGGAGGATCTCTAATCTAACTCGTTCAAGTTATCTTAGCATAGTTTAAACCTCCTACACAAGGAGATACAGATATTTCCCATACACTCGTTGTTGATGTTATGCTTGTTCTAACTTCCATTAACTTTATGACAATAAAAATATGAAAGCAAAAAAATCAATCAACACAGGCAGAACATGCAAACTCCACTCTAAAGTAATGCATCGGTTTTATATAGCGCTTTTTTGGACACTCAAAGACGCTTTACATGTCATTATTGATTCACTCCATACACGGTGGTGATAAACTACAACTGAAGCCACAGCTGCCATTCACACACACCAGACTCATTCTAGTTAATGGGGGTGACGTGTCTTGCCTAAGGACACAACGGCAGTTTGGCACTTTACAGCCGCAGCCCACTGTGGCATCCGGTGTTCCCAGAGGTGAAAGTCTTGAGGAGGGCTCGAACCCACGACCTTCTGGCTCAAAGGCCAATACTCTACCAACTGAGCTACTGTTGGGCTTTTGAAACATATATTAATCTTACTCACAAACACGACAGTTAGACTGGAGAGGCGCTGATGAGTAGTAGTGAACACAAAGCTGTTTTGTGACGTCTCATTGTGTGTGTGTTTGTTGTGTTGCAGTCGCACCTGTTTGTTCTGCAGCTGGTGCACCGGCCGTCTGTGCGCTCCGTCCTCCAGGGCCTGCTCAAGAAGCGACTGCTGCCCGCCGAGCACTGCATCACCAAAAGTAAGGGTGGCTTTACCTTTACCTTTCTCAAGCAGATTATCCAATCAGAGTGATCCTCATTTAGGTTGCCATGTTTGTATGTATATATAACAAAATTTGCAAACCAAAGAATAGCACCCCACATGTTTTTAAATGAAAGCAGATAACACGCAGAGCTTGTTCTGTTTCTGGCAAACAAGAAGGTCCAGCAGGTGGATTGCATCAGTGCTTGGGCAGGAAGATTCTGGTTTGATTGTAATTCTTATGATTTCTTAGACTTAGACCACAAAGAGTGAACATTACATACTCTTTCTTTAAAGACCACAGTCATTTGATTTTGTTCCAACAGGATATTGACCCTAAATATAAAGCCAGAGCTTCAGTGGAATGTTTTGATTAAACTAATCATATTTGTTTGTTAGAATGTCCAGACTAATGCCCTTAAGACCTGAAGACTGTTGTTCACAAACACTCTCATCTAACCCCAAGAGCTTCAGTCGTTTTGTAAAGACGAAAGGGAAAAACTTTCAGTTACTATATGTGCAAAGTTTATAGAGTAATTAATAGTTGCAACAGAAAGTAACCAAGGGCCAAAGCTTGTCTAATAATTACTATGAGTTCCGTCCGTCTGTATATTTATATATATATACAGTATATATACTATATTTATATATATACTATATTTACATATACAGTGTATACCACTAAATAAAGTAAATATTGAATCTAATATTGTGTAATGTGTAATTGTGTCCAGTCAAGAGGAACTTCAACAGTGTGGCAGCGTCGGCGGGGAACACCACTCTGAACGGAGAGGACGGCGTGGAGCAGACCGCCATCAAAGTGTCTCTGAAATGTCCCATCACGTTCAGACGAATCCAGCTGCCCGCGCGAGGCCACGACTGCAAACACGTTCAGGTGGGAAAGACACGCATTCTCATTCGTTAACATTTATTATCAATCATAAATTGGATTTCCAGTGCGTTAACGTTGGCTTTGTGTGTGCAGTGCTTTGACCTGGAGTCGTACCTTCAGCTGAACTGTGAGAGGGGGACGTGGAGGTGTCCTGTATGCAAGTGAGTGGAAGATCTGTCCCTAAAATCTTCTCCATTTTTAAATCCAGATTAGAAACAGTTCTGTTAAACTGTGTAAAAGATGTTGTATTTTTATTCTTTCAAATGGATGCACTGTGATAATAAATGCTTTTACTGTATCGCCCTAAAACACAACAGCAGTCGTCTCTGAGGACTTTACAATGTTTTCAAATCGCCAACAACAAAGAAAATGTACAAAGAAAATGTAATGACAAACACATAAGAGTCATTGGTGCATAGGGAGCGGGATGACCACTGTCCATCAATGTTGATAAATGTTCTGGATCATCGCTGTCCTTAGTCCTTCCTCCATCGGCAACAAAAACTCAACAACAACAACAAAAAATTCAGAAGATAAGGCTGATTCTACTGACTGAGTCTGTAGAACCGGACTGAGTCTGTAGAACCAGGACTGAGTCCGTAGAACCAGGACTGAGTCCGTAGAACCAGGACTGAGTCACTAGAACCAGGACTGAGTCCGTAGAACCAGGACTGAGGTTGTGTGGCGCAGGACTGAACTATGAAGTTGTGTAATATGAACTTAAGTCTTCTTTTTGTAATCGTTTCCACCGTGGCCTCTTGTGGTTGCAGTAAAACGGCGTTACTAGAAGGATTGGAGGTGGACCAGTACATGTGGGGAATCCTCAATGCCATTCAAAAGTAAGATTATTTGTTACAGCTGCTGTTGAACTTGTTGTTGGTCATTAAATTAATTCAATGCTTCTCTTTACTTCCCTTAACAGTTCGGAGTTCGAGGAGGTGACCATCGACCCCACGTGTAGCTGGCGGCCGGTGCCCATCAAGTCAGAGCTCCACATCAAAGAGGACCCAGACGGACCCCTGGCCAAGCGCTTCAAGACCATGAGCCCCAGTCAGATGACCATGCCCAACGTGCTGGACATGATCGCCCAGCTGGGACCTGGGCCGGGGCCAGGAGGCCAAGGACCAAGTCCTTACCCCCCACACCCGGGACAGCACGGCAGCGGCAACGGAGACTACCCTGGACCAGGTACCACACTGATGGCATGGGGTTAAAGGAGGAGAGGGATCGATTTTGAGTCACCCGTAAAGAAAGTCACAAGGCCTCATGTACTGGCCAGTTTCTTTAAAATGTCTTATGGAAATATTTATTTTGAAAAAAAACTGGGATACCTAAAATTCCACAGAAATAGTACAATAAACTAGTTCCTCACTCTCTAAACATTAGTTTTCACATGCATGCGTTCATGGCCTCTGTCACAGAGAAATGTGAAAGAGGAGGACCACCCCCACTCTGTGTCCAATATGCAAAATATGATTTGACATCTCATGAGATTAAGGCCCTGTCCACACGAAGTCAAGCTCAGGCCTAAACGCAAAAATACTTTTATCAATCCAGTGTATCGTCCATACGAGGCCGGCGTTTTGGGGGGGTGTAAACGAACATTTTTGAAAGTAGGTCCCAGAGTGGAAAGATTTCAAAACTCCGTATATGCCGCTCCGTGGTTACTGCCTCTCCGCAATGTATCTGAGACGCTTGCGTCATCGCCCCGCCTCTTGTTAAAGCACGCATGCGCTGCACTCAGAAAATAATGACAACAACAATGTAGCTTGTTGGTTTTGTAATCCAGTGCGACCCGAAGCAACAGTTCAACCTCATCGTCCGCCCATACTAATGTAGTACCAGCTCGCCCACTCGCCATGTTGTCTGTTTACAAAATTCTGCGCATGCCCAGTTCCCGTCACGGAAGTTTGGGCTTGATCCCGTCATTGCGTCACAGCGCCACCAACAGGTCTGGCATAGTTTCACAGCGTTTTCAGGCGTATTGACTACATTCATATGGACGCACACATTTACTGAGCTAACTCCGTGTTTACAGAAAAAGTTTCTGAAATTATAAGCGTTTTGTCTTTGTGTGGATATAGTCTAAGACAGTAGTGGTGGTGTTTGTAATTATTTAATTTCAAACATATGCACACAAAAAGGCAAAAACAATAAACAGGACAAAATGTTATGGTCGGATTTTCTCACATTTAATGTTTATTAGACTCGTTCTGTTGGGACAAACTACTGTATATTCTTTAGAAAGGAAAGAAATATGTACAGTACGTATCCCAGATGTATTAAAGGTTATGTAACATAAACACCAGATCAGTTATATGTGACTCTAAAGATATATTTAACCCCCACCATTAATAAAAGCTAGCTCTGTGGTTTTGTTTTAAATCTAAACTGAAGAAGATGAAGTTGGAAGATAGTAAATGCTAACATGCTTTTTTTGCTCTTCTGTGGTCGTAGGCAACAGTTACCACAGCCAGGGGAACTTTGACTTCCCTCATGGAAACCCGTCCGGAGGATTAGGAGGAGGAGGCCCCCCCATGACTGACTTTATGCACGGACCCCAACTCTCCCACCCCCCTGACGGCCCTGGAGGTCTGCTGCCTCAGGACAAGCCGCTCAGCCACGCCATGAACGAAGCTGTAAGTGCTTTCTCTCACTCGCAACACAACATTTATCACACATTTGCATAACACAATTTAAAGCTAGGCTACCTGAAACTGTGAATGTAAATGTTTTAATCTCACTCCATCTCAAACCTTGAAAAACATATTGGGGTTTACTATGTGTCGACAAATGGTTGGTCTTAATCCATGGCTGGTCTATAATGATTTTTTTTTTTTATCCAAACAGAAATATTCAATAAAATGTATTTATTTCAGTATTTAAATGAAGCAGGTCATATATTTATTTATGTGATATATGTTCATTATGTACAGTATATTTGAGTTGTAGCATATGGCTCATTATGATCATGGCCTTGTGAACACAGAAAGATCTTTGTAAAGTACTTGACCAGTAACAATGTCTAGTATATAGTTAAATCTGTTCTATCTGAGCCAAAGCGACCCAAGAAGACAGCCATTCAAAGAATTGGTCTGTGCTCATTGGTTCATGCTCGCACAGTGGAGGCCAAAATATTTGTCAAAGTGATGCATTTTTGGTAATTTCTTTGCCTCCTGGTCTTGTGCAGTAGGTGTTCTACTTCTGCATGACCAGCAAAACACGTGAGCATTTTCACCAATCAACATAAAAGCATTTAAAAGTCCATATAGAATATTAAAATGTGCACACAAAAAACATTTGAAAATTCACTGAAATCCTCCGAAAATCCCACAAGAGTCAGTGCAACAAAACATACGAGTCTAAACAGTGAGTTTTTAGTTGACTCCTAAATAAGTTCAAAGTCAGAGCAGACATTTGATAAAATCAGGCAGAGGGTTCCCTTTACAAGGAGCATAATGGGAGAAAGCTGCTTCTCCCACTTTCAGTTCTAAACAAAGCCAAGGTAGTTCAGGATTTGAAACACAGGTTCATGCGGCACAAGGAGATCACAAATATATGAAGGCCGCCGACTGACTCGTACTAACCCATTGCTGACCCGTGCTGACCCGTGCTGACCCGTGCTGACTAATATGTACAGTCTATGGTGCTGACCCATGCTGACTCGTTCGGAGCATGTGCCCACAGTTCATCTCTGCGTCTCCTGCAGCTGTACATATGGCTTACGCTGGACTCATTCCACTCTCTTTCTCTTTCTTCTTCCCCATGTAACCCCCCCATCACTGCCCTCGCCCCCCCTTCACTTCCAGATGTCCCACCCCGACCAGACCCATAGCTCCATGCAGCAGAGCATGCATGCGTCGCCCCACGCCGGCAGCCAATCGGGGCAGCCCTTGCATCACAGCAGCCAATCGGGGCAGCCCCTGCATCACAGCAGCCAATCAGGGCAGTCCTTGCATCACAGCGGCCAATCATCGCAGCCTCCTCGCCAGTCGCAGCCCCCTCCTGCGCATCCCCCGCCTCCGCAGCCTCAGCAGCAGCAGCAGCAGTCGGGCCAGAACACACACCCACACAGCGAGCTGAGTTTTAACCCCTCGTCAGACTCCTCGCTGGGGCCAGGACAGGACATGCCTGAACCGTCGCTGGATGTAAGTGTGAGCTGATCCGCTTTGTGTGCGCTGCTACACTCGTGTGTGTGCGCTGCTACACTCGTGTGTGTGTGTGCGCCGCTACACTCGTCATGTGTGTGTGCGCCACTACACTCGTCATGTGTGTGTACGCCACTACACTCGTCATGTGTGTGTGCGTACCACTACACTCGTCATGTGTGTGTGCGTACCACTACACTCGTCATGTGTGTGTGTGTGTGTGTGTGTGCACCGCTACACTCGTGTGTATGTGCCGCTACACTCGTCATGTGTGTGTGCGCACCACTAGACTCATGTGTGTGTGCATACCACTTATCATGTGTGTGTGTGCGCTGCTACACTCGTCCTGTGTGTGCGCTGCTACACTCGTCATGTGTGTGCGCTGCTACACTTGTCATGTGTGTGCGCCGCTACACACATCATGTGTGTGTGCGCCGCTACACACATCATGTGTGTGTGCGCACCGTTACACTGGTCATGTGTACTGTAGGTGTGTAGATCAGAGGGTCTGGCCGGAGAACAGACCTACACTTACAGTATAAAGGGTTCCTAGAGCAGTGACAAGTCACAGTCACAGTTCACAGCCAGGTGTTTGGACATATTTAGACAAAAAAAAGGACACATAAATTCCTGGGCTGCCTCACATGAAATGCCTGTTTGAGATTTCCCCAGATTGGCTCAATTATTTTATGATTTATAATGATGTTGTTTAAATATTAACCACTATCAAAAAGGGAGAAATAAATTATATTATTTATAATCTCCAAAATATCTAAGCCTGGGTGCAGCTGAACTTTAGCCCCGCCTACATCATTTCCCAGCTGAATCGTGAGGATGACGTAGTCGCGCTTAAAATATCGGGCCAAAATTATAAAACTGAATAACAGTCAAAAGAACACAACAGCGTAGCAGTGGAGTTTAGACGTAATGTTGACATGACCTACATGATATTGTCTGATTTCATCTGAAATTGTGGTCTATCTTGTTTTGTGTCCATTTGGTTTTGTGAAAGTGGTATTTTTTTATATACAAGCGTTTGCAAAAATAGTAATACAACTTGAACTTTTGCACGTTGTCTCATGTTACAACCACAATATAAAGTATATTTTTCTTGGATTTTCTGAAAGACCACATTCAAATAACTCACAAGTATGAAGTTAAAGCGATATCATAGATGATTTTGTTGAAAAGTGGGGCGTCTAAACTTACCGTTGTGAAAAAGGGTCCCAAAAAGAATCAAATTATGCAATATCAGAGAAATATATACAGGAAATCTGAACATGGAACATCAGAGACATGGACCATCTCCTTCAGGGCTTTCAAACTGGAAATAGAATGGGCCAGTGTGGCTGCAGGTTTTCATTCCAACCATTTTTGCACACCGGACTCCACCCATTTCCCAAGGTCACACCAGCCTTTTGAGGACCAGTTTATGGTACTTTTTTTTATTTGGTCTTTTTTTGCCTCACTTAAGTTTCTGTTACTGTGTTGTGGTCTTTCAGAAAAAAAATCTAAATACAATTGTTGTTATAATAAAAGTTAGTAGTTATAAGAAAGCAAAAGTATAAGTTGTTTGAGTGCTAATACGACGGTTTGAATGAGGAGGGGAAGCTCTTTACAGATGCATGAGTATCACTGGCTCTGACCAGCGTCCAGCCTTCTCACGTCTCACCCCTTCTCTGCCCACAGCTGCTTCCAGAGCTGGCCAACCCAGACGAGCTCCTGTCGTACCTGGACCCCCCGGACCTCCCCTCCAACAGCAACGACGACCTGCTCTCCCTCTTTGAGAACAATTAAAAACAAAGAGTCCTTTTTGTACCTGCAGACACCTCACCCGCCTCCTGTGGCCGCGTCCTATGCTCTCGCACACTTGCACTCACAAAGACCTCCACAACTGTACGGCAAAGGAACACGAGCGGAGGCCGAGAAAAAAGACGCCTATAGATATAAATATATATATACTCGGAACTGGGAGGCAGATGTTCTATTGCGCACTCCTTTTTTTCTACCCAAAATGTACAAGATTCAACGCACCAGTTCGTCACTCCTCCCTCTCTGGCCATTTTGGCGGGCACTATAATGACATATTCTTTTACATGACACTCGTGACTTTGAAAACCGTGCAGCTATGATCACCTCTGACAAAGACATGACAACGCGGAAGAGGAAATAACATGTTTTTTTAATCATTTTGTGAAAAAAAGAGGGAAAAAGGTTGAGTGTTTTTATCGGATTTCGGAGAGAGAAAAAAAAAACGTGTTCTTCCAAAATTCTTGGCACATGCCGTGATTTTGTTCTTTTTTTTTTTCTTTTCCTTTTTTGACCCCTGATTCCTAGCTTGAGCATGAATGTATCGTGTGGATGGAGGGTGTATGAAAGGCTTTTCCCATTGACTGAAACTGGAATTCCACCTCATCCACGCACTGAAAGACCGAAGAGCCAAGTGTAGACGACAGGTGGGCTTGAATGTTTTTTTGTTTGTTTTTATGTGAACTTTGCGGGGGAGAAATCATGGCTGAAGAATGAAAAATACTCACTTTTTATTTACCATCCTGGCTGCATAAACTTTTTGTATTTATTGTCCGCTCTTCCACGTCCACTTCTCCTGATGTGCATGTGTGCCAATGGCTCCCGATGTCCTTGTCCAGCCTAAATGTGCTTCAACAAATCATATTTATTATTTTATCGCAAATTAACTAATTTTTTATTTTTATTTTGTATCTTTGTGTTTCTTTCCCATCTCAGTCCTCCATTCAGATATACTGTCCATCTCCAAAGCTGTCCTATCAACATCTTTCTGACAACTTTTACAAAATGGCTGTATTTTATAGAAGTGTCCGTGTGGTCGTATTGATGTTGATTTTTGTTCTTGTTGAACTGTCTTTTAGGGAAAGTATAAAAACATCGTGCATGATCCAACAGTGTATCCAGACCTGTTGTATATACCCATGTGAATAGCTTGTGTCTGTACAGTACTGGACCTCTCTATTACTGCTACATGGTACTGTAGGCCCGACACATACATGCAGCTCACGTGTGCCCTGTCACCATCCACAATGCATCACTTCTTTTTGTGTCACTTTTATCGGCATTGACGATGCCCTGCCCTAGTCCTGATGAGCTTTGAGTTAAATTGATATTTTTGATTATTCAGAAATGATAATATTGGAGAATTTTGTGTTTAAATGTGCTAGCATGATCTTGGAATTGTTCAAATCTTTTCAAAAATGAACCTTTTCTATTTTTTTAAGGCATTTTCTATTTTTTCATATTTAAGTTATTATGGCCCTGGTTTGAATAGCCTAAATTGGTTTCCATACATGTGTGCGTTACAGTGTTTTGCTTGGGAGCATACTGTGTGCACACGGTGTCTGTGACGCTGCTGAAGGATGTTGTGTTGTTCTATGTGGAGACAAAGCACTGCTGCATGGAGACGCCTGGTCCATATACTTTACTACGTCATCACTATCTGTTCTATTGTTGGGAAATCAAAAGAGAATGCAATGAATATGTTGAAATGAGGAGAGGGCGTGGGAGGCTTGAGGGTATCACATAAGTGTATATAATGTAAATGAGAAATAGAGACACGTTAACAGAAATGTATTCATTTTCTCCAGGAGGAGTGTGCATAGTGTATTTAGAATTTGTAAAGCTTGCATCCTCCTGTCACATTGGATTGGGAAAAGAGTCTGTGTTTGTCTGTGCAGACCGCTAACACGCCTGTTCATGTATGTAAAATACTTTATGTGCCCCTCCACAGGGTTTCTAAGAAAACACTCTTGCTTTGTGTAATATTCCATGTCCGTGTATTTCTCTATGACCTGTGTACTTTATAAAGGTGCTACTAAAGTATCACAGCCTTTTGAGGTCAATTGGGACTTGGAGACACAAAGCCATGAGAGGCTTTCACAGCTGTTTCCAAATTTACACTTTGTAAAACTTTGTCAAATTTATAATTTTTATGCAATTTGGCAAAATCTGCTATAAAGGTACAATCTGAAATGATTGGCACATCAAGTGGCAGTTGTCTCTTTGTTTTGTACATTCTGTGTACAATCATTTCATATCCTAAACTGGTCAGAGAACATTGTGATTTTTAGTGTTGCAAATCTGTATGTAGTTAGATGATGTGACATCCTAATATTTATCTAATAAATATGTATTCAGACGAAACACTTCCACTGTGTCTGTGTTCTTCATGACTGACAGTTTTCAGAGATCACCATAACAATGACGTCATAAAATCAGTTTATTTGTAAACTGTTAGCATAGTTTTTTTATATTAAACATATGCATAGTAATCTATGGTTATGTTAATGGTAGTTAATGCCCCTCATGGCCACGTGAGGTCGCTATCACCTTTTGCTGCTAGTGCCACGCGTGTCATGTGACAGGGCCCTGGCGACGTCATATGTAAACACGGAAGTACCGAAGGGTATAGTGAGCGTCTGTGACGCTGACAGTGACAGTCTGCTCGCTCTGATCATGGATCTGCTGTGACTAAAGATGAAGCCGTGATGTTCCAGCTGAAGAACCGGCTGCGGTTCAGCTCAGCGGCTCTGGCCGCGGTCAGACTGTTCTCTGGACCCGCACAGAACCCCGTGGTGTTCCTGGACATAGAGGCGGACGGGGAGGCTCTGGGGAGGGTCACCATCGAGGTAACACATGAGGTTTCTACAAGTGCTGCGTGACGTTAACTTCTCCCTCTTCTTCACAGCTGTTTGCAGACTCTGTGCCAAAGACCGCTGGTATGTGCTTCTTCCCTGATTGTTGTTTGTGGTTTAGATTTATAAGAATAATGACATTGTTGTAGGAGAACATCATAATGTGACATTGTCCACAGAAAACTTCCGCGCTCTGTGCACTGGAGAACACGGCTTTGGATACAAGGGCTGTGTGTTCCACAGGATCATCCCGGAGTTCATGTGTCAGGTCGGGGTCATGAAACTGTAATTCATACACAATATGTTCATGATGACGATCCCACCACTGCCCTCATGAACAGGACTCATGAACACTTAGGGAGCAGTGCAGTAGGCAACAGTGCAATAGGGAGCAGTGCAGTAGGCAACAGTGCAATAGGGAGCAGTGCAGTAGGCAACAGTGCAATAGGGAGCAGTGCAGTAGGCAACAGTGCGGTAGGGAGCAGTGCAGTAGGGAACGGTGCAGTAGGATGAGTGCAATACAATGTCTCAAGTCTTCTGTCAATTATTGCAAACTGTCTCGCATGTCTGTACGTGTTCTGTATATAGTCTTGTGTACATTGTATTCTTTGCATGATTTGTATGATTATGTCTTGTTTTTTGTTTTTTTATGTTTTTTGTTCACATCAACCTGCCAGGGGGGTCTGCAGATGGAAATTAGCCTTAGGCTATAATCTGGGATATTTACATTGGTTAAATGTTCATTAATATGCATTGTACCCCCTTTTAAAACCCAAATAAATAAATAAGTAACTTCATAACCCTTCACTAACCCCTGCCCTTTATGACCGCCACCTACTACTGTCACTTTGCTGCACTGCTAAATGTCTATTGTGTGTAATTAGTGCACTTGTTTACAGTATAGTGTATTTTGAAGATTTGATTTCACCTTGAGCAAAAGCAAATTCCTAGTTTGTGACTTCCTGTCACTTACAATGGCAATAAAAATAAATCTGATGCATCAGAGATAATGATTTAACAATAATAATGTTCATGCTTTTTCAGGGAGGAGACTTCGGCAACAATAACGGGACTGGAGGAAAGTCTATATATGGAACTACTTTTAAAGATGAAAACTTCAAGTTAAAACACACTGGACCAGGTGGGTTCTGTATAATATGGTACTGTATAATATTATTGGACCTGGACCTGATTGGATTCTCTGTAGTACTTGTTTATCCCCACTAGAGGACAGTGTCTAACTTCGTTCATGTCATTTAAACACTTTAAAATCTTGCTGAAGACTAAATGTTTGCAGGTATACTCTCAATGGCAAACTCTGGCCCCAACACAAACGGCTCCCAGTTCTTCATCTGTACCAAGAAAACAGAATGGTAATGATGAATTGTTTGTTTATTATCTGGCACCCTGAGATTAACTTGTATTTACAGTCTATGGTCTGTCCCCTCAGGCTGGATGGCAAACATGTGGTGTTCGCTCAGGTCAAGGAGGGTCTGGACGTGGTCACCAAGATGGAGTCCTTTGGTTTGCATGACGGCGGCGTGCTCAAGAGGGTGGTCATCGTGGACTGTGGGCAAATCAAATAATGCAAATAACTGCAAAAACATGACTATCTCGTCTCCATTCTGTGACTCCTGATGGACACTTTGAGTGATATAATGTGAACTTTTATTACTAATTCAAACACATGACTGATATTAAAATGTATTTACTGACGTTTGTGGAATTTATAATCATGAAGGTGTTAGACCAAATAATTACATTGATTGAATATTTTATGAAAATGAGTCCAGCTGCTTGGATTGAAGAAAAACTGGACAAAACGCAATGAGGCTTTGTACTGTAGACTGGGTTAAAAAATGTATAATTATTGCTTATTGCATTCAGGGTTCAATGCTTATGGAAAAATTAATGATGTGGTTGATTTTTTTGTGATAAAATTAGCTCATTATTAGCATATTTGCACAGACTCTCAGTGGGGACCTTGACACTATGGTTTGATGTCCACTAGGGAGCCACACTACCTTCTCCCCATGTTTGAAACCACTGTTTTGGGGGCTCTTTTTGTCAGGATTGCATGCAGCATTAATCAAGTAAAAGTAAAATGACTTCCTACTTTTTCAGTTTAACATGAAAGGATAGATATATTCTATGTCACTTGCATGATTCCATTGCTTTGCTATGGGACATTCTATATTTCCTGGTATGGCAGTGGACTAATAAAACCAAGTCAACATTTCCATGGTTGCATCAATTTTATTTGGAGTTTGTTCTACTCAGAGGAAGTGTTTGTCGGAGCGGGAAGGCTGGACTCTGACTGCTGCCAATGTCTCCTGGCCACAGATAAAGTGGCAGAAAGGGATGGATGGAAGTGGTATCTCATAATTACCACCTCTTTCATCTGTTCGTATATTTACTGACGAGGCCAAAACGTGTTTGATTCGAACCTCATCCTCCCAAAATTATATGTCATTTCCACAGACTTTTCTCAACGCTAAAAGGATACCCTGGCCCTAAGCACCTCAACTTGTTTAGAAGAGCGACTAAACACCAAATAAACTTTTTTTTTTACTCATAAACTGCATACATATGTTAATTGTAGTGCTCTCTACATATCCTGGTCATTCTTTTGACCTTTTTGTTCAAAATAGATAAAATATCACTTTTGAGCCTAAAAGCGTCTGTGTGGCGCCCTCGCTACCTTTTTTGGTGGAACTACATTTGAATTTGGTCCTGGCTTCTGCATTGACTCTGATATTCTGTGTGACGTCAGTTGGTGTGTGTGACGTGCGTCTGTCTGCGCCAGTGATATGAACCCAATCAACTCTCACACACGCCCCAGCAGCAGGTTGGAGTATTCTGGCGACATCTAGTGGTTTAAAATGAAATTACTTCTGTTGACAACTGCTGCTGCTGAGATAATTGTGTGGATTAGGTTCAGGTGTAGCTCTACAATAATCTTAGTGTGTAAACAAGGGTGGAATGACACTTTCTGGTTTCAATGACAACTGTCACAGCCCAGACCACGCCCAACTCTAAGCCCCCCTTCTTGCCCTTTGGTCCTCCAGTCAACGGCCTTTTAAGATAACATTTTCAAATGTTCATGTGGGCGGAGCCAGGCTGGTCACAGGTGTTTAGTCGCTCTTTCATGAAACGGGTCCATATCCCAGTGATTTTCTGAGGTGATTACTCCCACATAAGCGTTGACCCCGTTTTGGATCTCCAAAGCCAGATTCTTGTATGTCTTCTCTTATTTTTTTACATATTCCTTTCCCAAACTCAATCAGTGTCTCTACTTTAAGAACTCCTTGAGCTCATTTACTTTGAGCTGGAGGTCATCTCGCTCTTGAACTATTTATTCTAGTTCCAGCCCTGTCAGTCTCTGGCGCTTCAGTTTATTTTTCTGCCTCGATCTTCATATTGTTTACCTCATCTACCAAATGTTGCCTGTCTGCTTCATCCATTTGTTCTGGCAGAAATGTTGTGTTTTCATCCTAGAAGAAGATTCTCCAGATGATAGTGTTTCTCCATGAGGTCTCCCACATAAGCGTTGACCCCGTTCCGGATCTCTCAAGCGAAATTCCAGGTCCATACTGGATAAATATAATACACCACTACATTTCAAACTGTGCCATTGTGGAAAGCTGGACGTGGCCACTATATTTGTGTCCACTAGAGGGCACACAAACGTATAAATAGCCTAGAGTTACATCTTTGTTTACGTCTGCACTTCCGTCGCGCCTGCCTTCTCCTGCTCCTGTGCCGTGGTGTGGCATTGTGCCCCGCGAGTCCTGCTTTTATATGGCCATGCTGTCCTGTCGCTTTGGCGTCTGGCCACCCTCGTTGCTGGGGTCCGAGTGTGCCGTAGCCGGCTGAGAGTCTGGGCTAGTCTGGTTGTACCACACCTTAGTACAAATTACATTTCATACTAAGGTCTGGATTTGCTCCATTGAGCTCCGTTAACAGGTGGGAGGGGTTAACTCCTTTTGCAGATTGAAACGATTGGATCTGAGTTTACCGTGACGTATGTAATGCGCCCGAGTGTGTTGTTAGCATTTAGCCTAGCCATCTCCTTTGCCACTAATGGAGCCCGTGGGGAGTAGCGCCACAATCTTGACCAGCGATTACATTTGCTAAACATTCCTTTTGCTCCTGCTTCAATTTCTAGATAGAATCAGAGCGGATTACTTTACTATTGCATTCTTCGCCATTGTCAAACTACAACCTGCCTGTTCGACGCAAACTCTTGACGTCACCGGCACCGACCTACAACACCCGTCTTCCGCGCTCTCTGAATAGCCGGTCGAAATACGACCGATTGTATTCGCTAACAGAGGGACCAGACCCAGACGGTTACATGCAGTGAAATGATGATTGAACGGATGGCTATGGCCAGGCTATGTCTGGGCCTTTAAACCGTCACTTGTCAAGGGTGCGCGCTCAGCATTTGCCGTATTGAAGCTGGGGACTGGCCGCATCGAGGCCCACCGCTGTTTCTCCTGTTTCTCTCCCTGTTCTCCCATGTTTCTGTTTGTGTGTTCACTTGTGCTCCTGAGTCCTTCGTGACAGGAAGATGGGCTCTTGTGAATATAAATGTGAAATGTAACAGAACCTATTTAATTAAGAGAACAGAACTATACATCACAACATAATAAATCAAAGTAACTTAATGCCTGCCTATGCCTCAATTATGATTTACGAACCTGTGCGCCTTAGAGCGCTTTTTATTTTATTTTCGGCACTCTGCCCTGGCGTTGCTGGTCTTTTCCTTTTTTTTATTTAATTGTTTTATTTATTTTAGGAGAGCGTAGCCGCCTCCAACTTGCTACACCATCTTCTCATTTCTCTCAAAATTATTATCTTGAATGTATCTCAGTAGATCAGACCAGTGGTTTAGTGGAACAGTGTGAGGAGCCACCACATTTCATGCAAATAAGAATATAATAATAATAACCCCTCGTCTCGGTTGATGATCTGTGCGCCTGCGATGAGAAGCGGGGCCCACAGACCATCAACAATCAACAGAGACGAGGGGGCTTTCATCTTGGGTCACATTTGGGATTCACTTCTCCAGTGGCCACACAATGTATAAATAAATTGTAGCTTATTTTGAACTTTGCTATAAGTTGTTTGCGCTCATTACTGTCAGTTACAGGACAAGATTCAATAAATTGGACATTCTCGGAATGAAAACAGCAGAAAAATTAGTAAAGGCATCATTAAAAGACAGCATTACAAGACCAAATGTTGCCTGTCTGCTTCGTCCAGTTGTTATGCAGATACAGTATGATAGTGTTTCTCCATGAGCTCTTCCACATCATAGACTGTATATTAACGGACGTAGTCACACCTATCCGCTGTTCAAACTAAAAATTGGGTTTTCATGGAGTGTGTTGTAGCTTTATATACAGTATGTAACGTGGGTTACTGTCTGACAAACTTCTAATAAGTGGTTTGATATACATACGAGTGACACGATGCTCGGGTGCGTCACAGGTCTCTTTACTGCAGTTCTCAAGAAGTAATGACAATGCCACTGCTCTACCTAGTGGTTGGAGTGATTATAGCAGTTACAATATACCACATCCCTCTTTTACAAGATAAAATGTTCTGCATTTTCAAAACTCACTATATTTAACAAAATCACAAATGAAATAGATGACCACTGAAACTGTAAGCTATATCAAGTGACCGGAACATGTCAAAATAAACATAACATCTTAAACACATTAGAATGGACCATAACTAGTCTCTGTATCTGGCAGGGCGTACAACTGCTCTGCCACGACGCGTGTATCATGCAGGATTTCTGTCCATCGTAGGTAAATGATCGGGTTGCTGTTCACGTACAGGTTACTCAGCGGGCTCTGAGGTTTGGAACGAGAGGTCATCTGAGCCCAGAGAAGTATCCTTGAACAAACTTCTGTTCCTCCTGAGCTCTCTCCCTGCCGGTGTCTGGACAGTGTAGGAGCGGGGTTCTTCTCTTTGTTGGACAATAACCTCTGGCTCCCAACCGCGTTGTGTTTGGATATTAACAGTGTCACCTTGTGATAGAACAGAGTGTGGCTTGGCTCGCTGGTCAAAGCGCTGTTTTTGGTGCAGTTGCATTTTTTGTATCTTGCTGATGTGAACAAGGCAATGTGCTGCGCAAGACTCTTCCCATTAATATCTGCGCAGGCGACTCGTTCAGTCCTGTAACTGGGGTGTTACAGCAGCTAGATGTGGGTCAGTTCCAGTTTGCATTGCTTTTTTGAGCGCATGTTTCACAGTCTTTATAGCTCTCTCTGCCATTCCATTCGATGAGGGAAAGCCGGGACTGGAATGAGTGAGAGTACTTTCCCATGAAGCTGCAAACGACTTCATCTCATAGCTGGCAAAAGGAACATGGTCACTCACTATCTCTTTGGGAATCCCGCTACGTGCAAAGACAGATTTCATCTTTTGAATCACAGTGTGGGCTGTTTTGTCAGGTAAGTTGAGAACCTCTGGATACTTGGTCAAATAATCAACTAAAAGGAGATAGGACTGACCATTAGTGAAAAATAAGCAGAATGCGCCGTGGGCTAAAGCAGACTCGGTCAGGGCA